ACAAGACTTGTTGGAACTCGAAAAAACTTTGCACTGCTAGATTCAGAATTGAATTACCTTTGCAATTATGTATAACAGGAGTAACAGGACCCTCATTCCCCATTTAAATTATTGAGGGGGCTCCTCTAATTTGTAGAGATTCCGAAGTGAATTTCGACCTATTTTGACTCCTAATATCATTTTACGGAAATTGGGGTGGTTCCATGTTTGTTGGCGAGCAGTGTATATCATTGAAGACGACCCCACTTGGTCATAGAGTACAGTTGTTGTATATCTCTCGCTTCAGCAAATTTCAGGATCCTTACCCAACGGTTACATGAGATACAGGGGTGTTTCCATTAGTGGGTCACACTGTATATATAAAGAAATTTCGCATTCTCCATGTGATGAAAATATTGATTCTTTCTCGGTTTATTCAACAATTGACGTTTAAAACTGTTCTTTATTGTCATTTCATGCATGATACCTATAATATCCTGGTTTTCTAGATTTCTTTGTTTAGTTATTGAGAAGTTATACCTGATTTTTGTTATTTCAAATGAAATCTCTACACCATTTCCTTGGAATCTCGAAAATATTCGAATGCCTACCCACAAAGAATCAATCAGAGCTGCTGAATTCGCGGCATGCGGCTATCGATCGGCAAATCCACTTAGCGACTCAAATTTCTCAAATTTTTTCATAGATCGATATGGAGCCGGTCGAAAGTTATCGAACGATCGACCAGAAGACATCCTAACAAAACAGTGTCGGTCCACACCATATTTCATTAACAATACAGATGGGAAATTGATAGTAGTTTAACCCTTTGTGTACTGGTTGCGCTATGGAGACACAACTCTCATAATTTTTACTCAGTCGCCTAGTGTATTTATATTGTAGCCACTTTCTGGAGAGCATGCGCAAATGTCCCTTCTCTTGATAGGAACCCGTACTATTCAGCTAATTCGCAAGAGAAGACATTTGTTTTAGACTAATGAACATGGTTCCATACTGCCTTTGCTAATCAACTGTTTCATTCTATTTTTTCGTCTATTCCAATATGGCAGGTGAGGTTTCTTTTGCAAATCAGTGAAAAACTCATTCAAAAATGTCATAGGAGTGGAAAAATAGAAATTCTATCGAAAAATAATTTTATTTCTCGCCGGAAAGTTGGTGGTCTCGCGTTGTGGACACAAGGGAAATAGAACCTCTCCTGTTTTTTCGTTCAGATGAAAAATTGTTCTCATTTCGCTCTACTTGTGATGTCAAATTATATCTCAGCGACCAGAAATATTGTTTTTCCTCCATAAACCAACTTAGGAGCAGCACTGTGAATAAGAAGGCTATAGTGAATCGTGCAAGACTATCCGATGCTCCAAAACTCAACAATATTGAGTCAAATATTAGAAACATTCCTTGCCATGGCTGGGATTCGAACCCACGACACTGTCGGGCGCTCGTCCACTGCGTCAATCTTGACTGAAACAAATTTGTGAAAATTCATCTTGTGTGATTTGAACAATGTTTATTGCCTAGTGTCTTAAGCCTTCAGCCAAGATCTTGAAATAAATTGACATGCATATAGACCTTCTAGAATCACATGTGAATGAATTTGTGAATTTTTCTATTAAAATATATCAAGTAAATAAATTCCGGCCTCAAAGGGTCAGGGAACTAAAAAGAAGTAGAAAATATTATAACAAAGGTGTTTTGATGAATACACATCATAAAAAATACTGATTACGGAGGTGCTATTCATCAACAGTTTTGCATTTCATAATGAAATTCGAAACACTAGATAGGTAGTAATATTATCACAATTGAAGAATCAATCTTCCGTATTATCAAATATAAAAACTTCACAAACGATAAGATTTCCACAAAATGAACCCAAATTTGACCCCTAAATGTTTTTTTGTCACCCCAAATTTTTGCTAACTCTGTCACTCACATCTATGTGCTTGCTCTTTTTTCTCTCTCTGCAGTTTGTTCTTTGTTTTCACTTTCTTTCAATCAATTAAGAACCTAATTACCATAAAACAATATACAGTGTGTCCACCTTAAGGACTTACCACCCCCGTGAAATCGTTATTATCCGACCAATTTCAAAAAACCTTTTTTTGTTGGATAGGTATTTGAAAAGCCCATCCAACAAGAAAGTGATCTAATTCTTGGACTGTTATCGTGGCCAACTGCGACAAATTTCAACGACCCATATTCCAGAAAGTAGTATTAGGGATTTTTTTCCACGAAACTTGATGATGGATTCTGAATCATTACCACTTGAAATATACCTGTACCGATTTTCATCATCATAAAACACAGGGTGTCCGAAAAAACGAATCATCATTTTCTTCAAATAGGTGATCAGCAAATGTACTTCTGTGGTTTTTTTAGAAAGGAATAATCACAAATTATCATTGAGGATTATTTCAAATAGGTATACCTGTACCAATTTCCGTCATTTGAATATACAATGTGTCTGAGATAAAAATTAAAAAGGATAGGTAAGCAATATTTTTCATCCTGATAATCCTTCACTCAAAATGAAAAGATGAATCAGGATCACTTGGAACATACCTGTACCGATTTTCATCATCATTTAACACAGGGTGTTCGAAAAATCAAATTAATATTTTTTTCGAGTTGATGGAAAAATATTGCCTACTTTTTCTTTTTGATTGTTTTCTCATACACATCGTATTTTCGAATGCTGAAAATCGGTACAGATATGTTCAAAGTGATCCTCAATAATAATGTGTCATCAATTCTTCTCAAAAATACCACAATACTACATTTTCTGATCACCTATTAAAAAAAACATAATTCGTTTTTTCGGACACTCTGCACTCTGTGTTTTATGATGATAAAAATCAGTGAAGGTGTTTTTCAACTGATCGTGATTCAGAATCCATCATTGTTTTTTGTGAAAAAAAATCCCTAATAGTACTTTCTCGAATATGGGTCAATAAAGTTGGTCGCAGTTGGCCACGGTTACAGTTCATGAGTAAAATCACTCTCTTGTTGGATGGACATTTCAAATACCTATCCAACAAAAAAAAGTTTTTTGAAATCGGTCAGATAATAACAATTTTACAGGGGTGGTAAGTCCTTAAGGTGGAGACACTGTATGTATGTGTGTATGTATGAATGTGTAGGTATATATATATATTCAAGTAATTAATGAAAAATAATTATGAATCAAACCTCGATCTTGTGATAAGAATGTAAATTTTCTTTTGACACAATAAATTGAATTGAACTAAGTCAAGATTGAAAGAGCAGAACAAACATTATGGGAAACACAGCAACATATCGACCAAAAAAGAGACATCCTATATGAGTATAACCGCGTCTCGTAGAAACCACTATATTCTCCCTAATGTTTCCATTTCCGTGTTTCCCTGAATTTTCCTCGGTATTCCTGTGGAACTCTGCATTATATTTGATTGATACCATCACAAAAACAAGGTCTTCTATTTCATATTTATACCTCGGAGCCATTTTGATGTATTCCACTATTCGGACTTGAATACCAAACCTTATATTATGGTTTGTTTGATAGATGTATAGTGAAATATCATTGGTTCAGGGGATATAATATGCAACAGAAACTCAGAAATAACAATCTCTATCAAGATTATCAAGAACGCCATATAGAATAATAAGTATATGTTATATACCTATATTGTCATCATCTATACAGGGTGATTTATTAAGTATGTCAAATCTCTGAACTACAGATAGTGAACACCAAAATATGAAGATTTAACCCAACATGAATGTTGCATATACAGGGTGTTCAAGGGAAAATTTCATTCCAGTTTTTTCCTGAACTTTGGTCGAACATTTACTTTGAAATTCTGAAAGTAGTTGGCGATGTTAGTGATTTTCATCATTGATTACTGTATTTTTTCTACTATCGCTTCGTTAACTTCATAATTTGAAATTATCAAAATATATTAGTGGAACGTGGATCTCTTCAAGAGCGAACAACCCAAACACCGTTACAGCTAGACAATTTGAAAATGAGTATACATTTTTTATGAAAAATTGAACAGGCTTTCAGATTTCTCACTTATTTTGATCATCATTCAATGGACAAAGAAGATATATGATGTAATTTACACTATAGCGCCCTCTATGAACAATAAGTTGCAAATTCGCATTTCTCATGTCAGATAACCTGAAACTACAAAATTTCATGTGCATGCGCTGTTAGAACTTACGACAAGTCATTTAAAAATTTTAAAATAAAATCTCCCCATCAACAATACCCCGAACCAGCAACATTATATTATCAGGCATGTTGGGCAATCAATATTTCAGTGTTAACTATCTGTAGTTCAGATATTTTCCATTCTAAATGAATCACCCTGTATATTCTGTCTGAAATTCTATTTGACTATTATGTGAAATTTCAGTAATTTCACTAATATCTGACAGTTGTTACTTTGAAGGACGACATGAACTATTCACAAGAGAATGAAGATATCTGGTCAAAGAAAAAACATTTAATTTGGAAATATGTATTAGTAGTAGAAAAACTAATATACACAATCATGGTACACCAAACCATTTCTATGAACTTAATGAACTTGCTGATAAATCAAAAAATTCAATATTTTTGACAGTATCAAATTTTTTTTCAGCATTACACCTGTCGAAATGAGAACATCAGACTCGATCAGAATAATCACGGCATACAAAGATGGAAGATAAAAAATGAAATTAAAATAACTATTGAAGTTTGCAATATCATTAATGTGGTATCATTGGATTTAGAAAATGATGCAGAATTCGAAAATGCAATGATATTCAAGCTGTTCCATTTGAAAATCAAAAGTTATTACCGCTTCTGGTGAAACTGTTTATCAAGTTGATGGGTCATTCTAAATTTCAATCACTCATCTCTAAAACTAAAGGAGAAAAAGAGGGGGTGTACCATGATTCTATTACACCACGATTTGTTATAAATCCTACATCAAAACCAGACGTGATTTGATTCTGATTTCCAGATTCACCATACAGAAAATCAATAAACGAGGCCATTTTGAAAATGCAGGAAATGGGAATTCTTCATAGACTCAAAGACAAATGGTGGAAAGAAATGAATGGTGGAGGAAAATGTACAGTAAGTCTATATAACTATATATTATGTGTAGGTGTACATCCTACTTATCAGTTCTTCTTACCTAAATATGAAGAGACCTATGATACAGCAAGTGTCAAACCTGTTTTGGGAAAAATTAATCTATGGACTAAACCTATACCAGGCTACCTCACTTAATTCTAGTTTGGGGGCCAGATAAACGTTTTGATTTATGGCTTTCCACCATGGAGCTAGTTGTTATTTATATACCTACTCAATCGGTATATTATACAAGGTGTCACAACGGAACGGGATGTGAAATTTTGAAAGAGAATACTGATATTGAATGAGGAATGAGGTTTTTCTTGCAATTTATGGTATATTTTGTCCAAAGTCAATTGGATATGCTCCAATTGACTTCGGATAGATTATACATGATAATATCTCCAATGGCCATGAATTAGGATTTAGACATTCTCAATTAATTGGTTATAATTTCCAGAGTATAATAATTGAGCAAAGTCATCACAGTCAATAAAAAACAGACATCAGATGCACAGCTCAGCTAGGTGATTTTCAGAAAAATCTGAACAATTAAAATAATCAGTAGTAATACTATGAGTACATCAAAATATTCGGGTTATACATAGATAACTCGTTGCATAATTACAATATTACAAAGTGTCAATTAAACAGTTGAATAATTCTGTTAACACAGTGACACGATTCGTAATTGTGGAGGAAGTTTGAGACTTGATATTTCGAATCGTATTCGATGCGTATATTTTTTGAGTACACGGAAAAAAGAATTTGTTGCATCAACAAATTATTTATGCTTGAATTATTCTCGTTGGACTGAGCAGGTTTTTGTTTAATCAACCAGATACATGATTATTTCATGGACGCAGCTTGTTCAAATCAAGAATGTAGTCTAATCGAATCCAAAATAATGTTGGTGTTGATTCAACTATAAACATTTAGTTGATTTGATGAAATAATGATCATTTTTATGAGAATATATCTCTGAAACAACATACAAGTTTTCTTATTCCGATGTAGCAATGAACTAGTTTCGCCTCTAGATGGCGATCATTTCGCCTCGTCAATGCCTGCCTCGGATTCTTTAGATATACGTGAAGCCTGATTGTTCGTGTTTGAAATATCAGCTGGATAAATCGATCATAGGATGATTAGCAATCCGAAATAGTTTTGCATCAGCTGAAGAGAAGTAAAGACTGAAGATCTATGCTGGACGTCGACTAGTTTCCTAGTTTAGTTTATTCTATTGATATGAAATTTCAGAAAACTCCCGAATTAATATCAATTTTGGTTCAACAAAACAATTTGTCGAATGGAAATACAGTATCCCTTGTATCAACGAAAAATTTTAATGAATCAACAAAATATTTCATTGAATTAACCAAATATTTCATTGAATCAACCAAATATTTCATTGAATCAACCAAATAATTAATTGTATTAACCAAATATTGCATAGAATCAACTAAATATCTGATTGAATCAATATCTTGTTATTTTGAATCGAACAAAATGATTGTTTGAGCCAATTCAATATCTCTTCATAAACAATTCATGGATGTGCTTGATTGAATAATAAGATCCAGAGTTTATGCAAGATATATTTAGGTACTTCAAATTCGCTCTGAAACCACATATAGATTCATTTGCTTCATTGAATTAAATTTTGCTTGATTCAACAATTCCTTTTTTTCCGTGATATTTTGTACCCCTGGGGAATATCATACACCACACCACACAGACGGAGGGATAAGTCAATTGAACGTTCTGATTGGTTTATCATATCATATGAAGAAAATAATCAAAAATATACTTCATTTCAAAGCTGAAGAATATAAATTATGTCAGCTGATGAGAAGGTCACCCTGTATGTCGGAACAGTGAAAGGAATCCCACTTCGAGATTACATTTACGAGGAGATTTACGACTTCCAATAAAACGGTTAATTTGATATTTCGGATTTGGATGACTGAATGTTTAGGATGCAATCATCAATTTCCTTATTATAATTTTTCGATTATTCCAGCGGCTCCTTTGAAGCCATATCAAAAACAAAGATTACCAAAATTCGAAAAGGAAAAAAGATTGGAGATTATACAGAATTGGTTCTAGGAATAGCACAACTCACTATAAGTTATTCACCCTTCAACTAATGAGCGATGGACCAATTTGTTCTTATTTTATTCTTTCGAATATTGATAAAAATATTTCACAAATTTTTTTGAAACGGTTTGAGCATTGTCGTTCAAAATGATAGTAGTAGGCGAGAGCTATAATATTATTTATGCACTAGCGGGCAGTAAAGTGCACTTTATCGCCCGGATTTGCGGGCGTAAAGTAGTACTTTACCGCCCGCGGCCCATTATCGCCCACGGGCCATGAAGTGCACTTTACCGCCCGCTGTTCTCAAGTCTCTTACATCCACACATCCATTTGTGGAATACCCATATTTGAACTCTCAGCTGATTCTATCGTTATGATTATGATATATGTTATATTGTTCATCCGATTCCATCTTCGCAATAACTTCCTTCTTTGAATAGTTGCTTTCTGGCTGTCTGAAGTATCTACCGAAAAGATGACAATTTCAGCTTGTTTTTTGAATGTATTGCTAGACAGCAACCATCAGATTGATTGACAACGTCAAATTCAGGTAGCAATATACTGGGTACACATATTGTTACATCTCAAGAAATGAATCTCTGTTAGTGAACGAAGAGTTTTACTCTTACGATAATTGCGATGTTCGTACGGTAATTTTAATATGTAGATTATACACAATCATAAACATTGCGCTTCTCTTGAAAACTGAATTTATAAGTGACATATGAATTGTAGTTTGTTGAAATCTAGTCATTACTTGTGACTCGGGAAATAAACCAAGTGCATAAAATGTTGTATGTATCACGTGCGTAAAATGCGTTTATGGCCTTCAGCGTGTAATTATTCACGCCACAGGCCATAAACGCCTACTTTACGCCCTTGATACATAAATAACTATTGTTCATTGCAAAATAACATTATAGCACTCACAAACCAATCAACAAGCTCAAATAAAACAACCATTGCTACAAGAAATAATAAGGAATAATTGTAATTTTTAAGGATTCCGATATAAACACAATTCCTAATTCAACACATCGATAGAGATGAAATTGAAAACAACTGTCAGGACATTATTTTACGATTACGACATCTCATAAAAAATCATCTTTTTTCTGCAACTGACTCAAAAGACGTCCATTTTAATACCAAAATTAGCTCTTGAATTGACGTTTGCGGTATCAATGGGGTAGAAAAACAACGATGTAAGGAGAATCAATAAGAAAATGTCACTTGTTGTCACATCATTGCTAAAACCGTGTCCCTGCTAATTCACACAAAAGTAGTGGAATTTCGCTATATTATAGCATACCAAGTACAATTAACGTCTTGCAACTATTGTACAGTGCATTGCGGTCCCGCAATTGTGTTACTGCAATAAATCGAGTGTTCTGGAGTGGTGTTCCGTCTCATTGATATACTGAATACGATACCATGCTACAGTCTGCTCTTGGAGTTAGAGCTTTTGATTTTGATCAAAAACCATTTCTACGGATTGAAACATCAGAACAAGTAAGAAAAACATCCGGCTCGAAGGACCAAAATGTTGAGTATCTTCATAAGAATCCCAAACTTGCCTTTGATAGTCAGAGGACAGACGCTCAGTATATATGAACGTTATCGAATGAAGGACCAGGAGTTAGTTAAGCTTGTTAAAACAGTGTTTTATCAAGAATGTCAACCTAATATTGTCTATTTTGGCAGAAACAAATGAGCTCTTTCCATTTTCAGTTCTCCAGCGTCACTTGACAGGCAGAAAAATTTCAATTCACTAAACATACAATATTATACCTCCGCGCGTACTAAAGGCGGCTGCACAATTGCCCGGGAACGAGAACGTGAACGAGAACGAGAACGGGAAAAAAATTAAGCTACACATATTTTAATGTACCCATGCACAACCGATTTCCGGGAACGAGAACGAGAAGATGCCCGGGAACGAGAACTAGAAAGTTGGCCAAAGTTTCAACTTTCCGTTCCCGTTGCATTCCCGGAACCAATCGCAGCACAGACATTGGATGCCATAAGAAGAAGAAGATAACCTAGTTTACAAACTATTCTAGTCTAGTGGATTGTCAAAAATGAATGACGAAGAATTGATAAACTTGGTGGAACAATGTCCTCACCTATACGATCGGTCTCTGAAAAACCAACATCTCATCACTAATAACATCCATTATGTTGAAAATTATTTCTAAAGTCAAGCTGACACGCTGACAGTGTCTTGAAATTTTAAAAAATAAATGGAAGAATGTCAAATATCCCTACTATTTCCGTTCTCGTTCTCGTTGTTTGTGCATCTGATAAAATATTCCAGTTCTGGTTTCCGTTCTCGTTCTCGTTCACGTTCTCGTTCCCGGGCAATTGTGCAGCCGCCTTAAGTCGCCTACTAGGTATTTAGATCGACAATGTCTCGAGTATAGTCACATGATTTTATGAATTGTTATAGAAAGACAAACATTCAACTGATGCCGAAGCAGCAGAAATGGGGTTGGACAATGTAGGGGGTGTGTTCGTAGTACTAGCTGCAGGTGTCATTTTGGCCTTCCTCATCGCAATGTGCGAATTTCTCTGGAACGTCAGAAAAGTGGCGGTAGTCAAACATGTAAGTCACATTTATACAGGGTGTCCCTAAAAGGTCTCTACAAATAATTACCACATATTCACGGCTCTGAAGTTACAATTTCCAAATCTTTTTGTTTCTTAACTTTGAAACAACTCATGAGATTTCACTCAAATTTAGTAAGTTGACATAGTTCCATTGGGCAATAAAACCCATATCAACAAACAAATGAATATATCTGAAACTTCTACGCCAATAGAGAAAAAGGGGGATGAATATGAAATTTATTCTCTCAACCAGCTCGCCAAATGTAGGTAAATACATTCAAACGTTGACGTGTATATTTGAAGAAATAGATAAAATCTTTGTTCGAACATTTTTCCTGTTACTCTCTTACATTCAAAATATAAGAGAAAAAATTTATTGAGAAACACAACAGGAAAATAAATACATATAAAATAACATACAGTGTAGATGACTGAATAGTCACAGTAATTCTTTGAAAGGTGGCTTATTCTTAAGCACCAATAAATTCATTGCTTCGACTTTTGCTTCTTTTTTTCGTTATAACAAGTACGAGTATAAGGTATAAGTATATATTGAGAGTTTCAGGTTCTATATTCTTCACAAAACAATTCCGTTGGTGGTAAAAAACATACACAGATGCTCAGAGTGATGTATTCAAAAAAACACGACAAACGAAATGGTTCGCGGTTTGATTTGATTCGATTTGATTTATTCATAATAATATAATAATATGTGATACAATTTATATAAATTATAAGATTATAAGATTACACCCCCACTAGAACGACAGAATCCACCTAAGCAAATGGATGCTTGTGTCGTGGTGTTCTATGCTCCATTATTTTCATGATTGACTTTTTTGTCTAGTTGACACCCAAAGAAGCTCTAATCAAGGAACTGAAGTTTGCAATGAACATCTGGGCCAGGAAAAAAGAAGTAACGACAAGCGGCTTGAGAGACATTTCTTTGGAAACGCTAGAACCGAAAATGTAGTGAAAATTGGTTTTCTAGAGAAGCAGAATAATTTGCAGCGTACTTGAAATAAAATTACATCATACCTCGAATGAATTGTTGAAGAATACAATAATTATTTACATAGATTTGTGAGTTTGATTTGTATGAGCCCTATTTTACAACCAATTCCGAAAATGTATCTGCAGCAGGAAGAGCATCAAAATAAATGCATTAGATTAGACATACCGTATTTTCTAGACAAGTCCACTGTATAATCCAATAAAATTCTATAACAATCTTCCACTTGAGATGAAAGCTATCCAAAATACCAAAAGATTCATTGGCTCGATACGGGATTACTTACTGATAATGGAGCCATACTCAATGTGATATATTTTTCAACTCGATTTTTAATATGTGATTATATTTTATTTGTATGTGTAGGTATTTTTATGGCATTTTCAACTAAATATATGTTTTGTGACTTACTTCTTAGACGCGTAAAACAACTCTGTAGAAATGAATAAATTATCTATCACGGCAATGAATGATTGATTGCCTTGGCCGCGGCATTCAATATACAACTTTCCTGCCTAGTAAAACAAATAACTTTTTTTATGTTCTGCTTCCCACGAAAAGGGATATTCTGTAATGTTCAGAGAACATCGTGAGAACCAAGGGAAATAAGGTAGGAATTGGTGTTCTTCTTACATTTCTGAAGGTTATATGCCTCGGGGAACACCTTCCTTGGCAATATGTTCCAGAGCCTCGCTGTTCGTTGGATGAACGAGTCTTTGGAAAGAGATGTTCTGCAGGTCTCCAAAGTGACCACGAAGGGGTGCGAAGCCTCAACTCGACGGGTTAATCTCGCGGGGACTGCCAAGGGAGGAACAATTGTTGATATGTCTTCTGAGCATCGTCCATGAAAATATCCTTGCGATATAGAGCCAGATCGCCAACTTTTCTACGGTGTTCCAGAGAAGTGAGTGAGTTTGTGAGCGAGGCATCACCCACGAGACGAATTGCCCTTTTCTGAACAGAATCCAACAGTTTCAGGGCATGTTTGGGTGCTGCACTCCAAATATGGGAACAGTATTCCAGGGCAGTTTGGATCTGTGTCTTATTGATCATAAGCAGTTGACTGGAAGTGAAATAGCTCCTGGTCCGAAACAGAAAACCAAGTTTTTGGGATGCACTTTCAGCAATTGATCTCACGTGATTTTACCAAGAAAGGTTATTGCTGATGATAGTAATACCAAGCATCGAAATGGATGTCTTCAAAGGTATGGTTACTCCTGACAATCTTATGTTGGGCACAGTGAGATCGGCTTTTCTAGAGAAAAGGCATGCTATTACTATAACTATTCCAAGATGGCAGTTCAGACGTCGTACAAAATCGTTAGGAAGAATATAAATTTTGCAAAAAATCGCTAATAACATCTGTCTCATTAGAAAAAATTTTGTTGTGCACACCACTGATATGATAGTGATTGAAGGATTCGGTCCAAATGTGTGTGAAAAATGGCTGCGACACAGTTAATCGCTCACGGTAGCTGCTAATGGATACTTATCTCTCCGGCTATTCTCTTAAAGACCCAAAAAATGCATTAGAGATAAGATAAATAACTACTTTCGGCTTCTGTCTGTGCGGCATTCTTCCACCGAAACAATTTTTGCAATAACGATTTTTCTTTGAAGATACCGATAAACCTCAGAGGATACATCCTGGTTCCGTCAGATGATGTAATTCCGGAGGATTCTTAGTGTTTGCTTTTCGAGTCTTTCGGGTCTTTTCTTCAGAGAAGTATAGTGATCGATTGTATCTTTTTCATATAATAATACAATACGACGCCAAGAACAAGTAATCAGTGAATGTTTCTAAAACTTCTTTCATTTCCATAAAGCTATTAATACAGGGTGTTTTATACTCGATCATCATACCATTATATAGGTTCTCAGAGACTAAACTTCTCCAAGAAATCAACGCCCCACCAAGAAGTAGCTAAAAGTTCAAGATACATTTTCGTCAAAACTAGAGTCGCTGTATGTATAATTCCCTGTATATATTTGACAGTTTTGTTGTAATAAGAGTACGGACACTATGACAAGCAGTGACGGAAGGCATAACCCCAAATTCTCAAAATGACTTTTGAACAAAGACATGGATATGCTTTTCCATGCACTTCGGATCTTCTATCCTCTACTGCCGCGGTGAAGGGTACATCCATATATCTTTCTCTGTCTTTATTTTCATAAAGAAGTGGCGTCTCATCTCACTGGCGAAAAGGGGTCATAGTTTGTAAATCAATTTGTTGAAATTATTTCTCGATATACTTAACAAAGGGTATATGTACTTCAATTTATTTGATTTTAGGATGCACTAGTTTTTCAATAGATAGAATCAGGATTTAGTATAGCCAGTTCTGATGGTAAGAATGTAAATGAATTGGGAAGAACAATTCAACCAATTAACAAACGTATATTTGTTCTCATAACATACTAAGATCAGAAAATTCGACAAATACAAGTATAATGATTATAATTCAAGTATATCCTATGACAAGAATACAAAATTTCAAATAATGGTAGAGTAAAGTGGGGTAATATAGCAACATAAAATTCAAATGCTCACAATCTACATATGAATTTCATGACTAAAGCTTTTTCGACACTCTCTGCATTCCATCTATTACCCATTATATTTAGAATTATGAGAAATATGTTGCTCATAATGAATAGCAACTTTACTTAGAATACCTTTTAATTAGTAATCGATTCCATTGATTCGCGTTTTAAAATACTGGAATTGACTATAATTTTGGTTGAAATATATTCCGAAACTATCAATTTGGGTCTTGAGTCGATTCAAAATTGCCTGTATTCTTGCATTAGCAGTTTCCTCACACTCTTCCAAAGATTTTTGATGAGATAGTTGAAGATCTAAAATTATTTCCTTATAATAGTTGTGAATATTCGTAACTTGCAGTCTTGTTTCAGAATCTCTTTGCTTCAAGCTATTTTTCAAATGTTCGTCCTTTTCTTTGATTTTTTTTCTGTATCTTTCATCATTAACTATTAATAAATTCGAATTTCGGCATATCTTCTCTCTAAATCTTCGATAATTTCTTGTTTGTGATCCAAAACACATTTAATTTCATCTTGGTATTCTACTTGAATTTTTCCTCGTAAAAATTGTCCTGAATTCGATAAGGAATGTCTTCGATAATGCTTCTGATGATGGAATGAAGACTCCGCATTTTCTTTCAATTTGATGGTATGTTCCACTATGAAATCTTCACATTTGAAGTGCACCTATAATGTTAAAATTGAAATTATAAATGATATTATTTCTTCGAAGATGCATCATATTCAATCGAAAAATTCAAATATTGAGTACTTACTTCGCAAATTGATACCTGAATTCAATTTCCATAGTGGCCGCTTCATATTTTCTTTCCATTTCTGTAACTGTTGTTGGTTAGAATGGGGGAAATGGAATAAATGAAAGGAATCGCTTCCATTTTTGCAATTCTCCACTACACAATTAGACATTTTAATTTTTGAAAACCTGAATTTCCAAATAATTTAATGTCATGTACGTTCATGAACTGTCAGTGCCCGCCAAATTGTTCATGTCATTTCAAATTTTTTAGGGTTATGCCTTCTGTCACTGCTTGTCATAGTGTCCGTACTCTTATTACAGCAAAAGTGTCAAATACATACAGGGACTCTAGTCAAAACTATACTTGTCCTATTTGGACGTTCTTTGTTTTGAATGACAGGATTGACAGGTTATAGCCTTGAGAACATTGGCGTGTAAACTGTATTCGCATAAAAACCTATTAGGCAATCCAACGACCTGTCAAATAATTTCAAAATGGCGTCTGGTTGGCAAACAAACCAGAGACACGTTTGTTTACTTGAGGACTTTGTGGAATTTGGAAGCCTTTTAGAGTATTGTTATGCAGTTTTGGTTAGATTTATTGTGAATAATGAAAACTTTCAAAGAGAAAAAATGCCAGTAACGTGTATTGTTTTGGATTGTGGAAGCCGTGCAGATCGGGACCATTTGATGTTTTTTTACATTCCTATTTTGATACTGTGAAAAACTCTGTGCATTTCCCACAGATGACGGATCTATCAAGAAAATTGAGGGAAATATGGATAGCAGCCATCAAGAGGAAGGATCAGCAAGACCTCACCCCACTTGATTTTTATTTGTGGGGCTACTTGAAACAACAGGTTTACGAGTCGCCAATTGTGAATATGGAGGAAATGAGAGAAAGTCACAAATTTATGCACACAAATTGATCGCAACGGACGACATATTGAGCAGTTGAGGTTTCAATTATTTTTTTTTCATTCGATTTCAATCATGTTATATTGATAAAATCTAGTCATATACATTTTTTATTGAATCGTTCGATTTTCCGCTATATCTTCGTAGTCGTTTGAAAAAATCCCAATAAACCCGGCTTTGTTGAATTTGTAATAATGAACTCTACTCGAATATGGAATAATATACTGGGTGTCCTTATTCAAATAAGAAAGTTGAGGTGCACTTCGGTGTGACCCTGTATACCTACGATTTATTCAATAGCATAATTCGAGTGAGCATCATCAAATATACTGGGTGACAAAATTTCAAGTCATTCGATCGCGCGGTTGATTATTCACATGGGGGGACATTTTAGCCGAACCATCAGACATGGATATTCCACTTTCTTCTATCAAGCCTGACTACTGAGTTGATGAGAAATAAAAAACAATTCCACGTCATGCCATTACATGAACTTTTGTTTCTATCATTTGCTTATTAATAACTTACTTTTTACTGTATCTACCTTCTTTCGATTGATGGTTAATACAAAATACACATACTGTTCCACTTTAGAATTCAGGGTTTCGTTAAAAATTCAGTTTTCCAAAAGGGTTGAAAACTGTTGCTATGAGGATCTATTTTCTCAGGATTGGATATACAGGGTGTCTGTAAAAGGTCTTTACAAAAACATACCACATATTGCTTAGACCAAAATAAGTCGATTCAAGTAAAATTACCTCAGTACAAAGTTGCATCGTTTGGGCTCCAGAAGGCCTTGAAGTTACAATTTTTAAATTGTTTTTCCCATAT